TACCTGGTGCAGGATTGTGGGGCTGACCCCCATGCGCGCGCCCATGACGGCATGACCCCGTTGCACGCCGCTGCCCAGATGGGCCACAACACTGTCATCGTGTGGCTGGTAAGCGCTGCTGGGGCATGGCATGGTGGGCACGGCACGCTGAAGTGGCATGGCATGGGGCTCACTGCACAAGCGCTCAGTCCCCCTGCCCACACAGATGAGCTTCACGACCGTGAGTCTGTCGGAGCGGGACGCTGAGGGGGCCACAGCCATGCACTTTGCTGCCAGTCGTGGCCATGCCAAGGTGCTGAGCTGGCTGCTGCTGCACGGCGGGGAGATCACTACGGACAGCTGGGGTGGCACACCGCTGCACGACGCTGCCGAGAATGGCGAGCTGGAGGTGGGTGCTGATGGCCAGTGGGATGTCAGGGCAAGGTGGGGGCTTCCCTCCAGCCCTGTCATGCCCCCCCACTCTCCCCAGTGCTGCCAGATCCTGGTGGTGAACGGTGCCGACCTCAGCATCCGTGACCAGGATGGCTACACGGCGGCCGACCTCGCCGACTACAACGGCCACAGCCACTGCGCCCAGTACCTGCGCACCGTGGAGAACATGGTACGGCAGCGCCCAGGGCCAAGTGTGTGGGAAGCACACAGGGAGCACACAGGGCCCTGCTGCCCCCGCCCTGCTGCCTGACCCCATGGCTGTGCCAGCAGAGCGTGGAGCACCGTGTGCTGTCGCGAGACCCCTCAGCAGATGGGGAGTGCCGGCAGCCCGACTCGGGCATGTCATCGCCAAATACCACGGCATCGGTGCCCCAGGCGCGCTTCGAGGTGGGCTCCCCTGCCAGCACCCTCTCCAACTACGACTCCTGCCACTCCAGCCAGTCAAGCACCGGGGAGAAGAGGGGCGGCCCCCCCGGGGCCCCTGCCGCCCGTGAGTGCGGGGCCGGAGGGCGCGGGGTGGGGGGCATGGGACCAGCCCCCCCTGACCCCCTGCCCTGTGCAGGGGTGCCTGAGCCGGCGCTGGCGGACATGCAGGCGTACATGGACATGCTGGATCCTGAGACGCGGCCGCGGGGCCGGGGCCCAGCAGGCGAGGGCCCCCCACCGCCGCCACCCCCTGCCTTCCCCCCACCACCTCCCCCACCCCCCAGCACCCGACCACCCCCACCACCCCCTGGCTACCCTGCACCCGCGCCCCCCACCGTCCCCCACACTGCTGACATCTATGTGCGGGCCAAGAACAACCTGCGTCACGTGGAGAGCCAGGCGCTGCGCCGAGAGGTACGGCCCCATGCAGGGTGTCCCCTGCACCACATCCCATGCACAGCTCAGGGGACATGGACATGCCACGTTGGGGGACATGCTACCAGGCACCCATCCTCTCTGAGGAGCTGTTGCCTGTTCTGAGAGGGGACAGTCTCAGCTAAAGGCTATATGCCTGCAATACTTGCATACACACTGGGGGGCCTGGGGTGCAACCAGCAGCAAGGAAGCCAGCGATGCTTTGGTTGCTCCATGGCACTGGGCAGCCCCATTTGACCACTGCACTGGCTGGAGCACCTGGCAGCACCGTGCCATGGCAGCCGCGCCCATGCAGCCCTGGCAGTGCCATCAGCACCACACCGAGCTGGGCGTGGGCAGCAGTGCAGGCGGTAACCCGAGCGGCCGGCTCCAGTGTCAGCCGCACCACAGGTGTCGGGTGGCACAGCCAGTGCTGCCAGGAGCTGAGAGGGCTCAGCCAGGCGTGCACAGGTAAGAGGGGTGCAGCCCCCCGTGGCGGGCTGGGGGTCATAGGGATGCAGTAGGTTTGGGGTTGTCCTGACACCCTACCATGGCTCTCACCACCCCTATGGGGACGGGAGTCTGGTGCACGGCCATGGCCCCATGGCCAGGGCACTGGCAAAGCCCAGCAGCACAGGGGATGGGGCACATGGGGCGGGGGGCTCGGTGGAGCAGTGTGTGCCACGTGCGTGGGGGACTTGGGATTTCATAGGGCTCGTTGTGCACAGTCCTCGCTCCTTAGCACTTACCAGGGTAATGACTGTCCTGGGGAGGTGCAGGCGTCTGCCAGAGCAGTGCCAGAGCAGTGTGGGTGCCCCACGCAATGGGGCTGGATGGCATGGACCCTTGTGCTAGACTGGGGCTGGGGCTGCCGGAGTGGGAGCCGGGCTTGGCCCAGCGCCCACGGCAGCCGGAGCAGGAAACACCAAGCTGGCACTTGTTGACTTAGCTGGGGCTGGCAGTGGCAGCAAGCACCTGGACTCACAGTGAAAATGCCATGGGTGGAGGTGGCTCACGGGGAAATGCAAATAGTGGGGCCCCCAGCAAGGGGAGCGGGGCCACGCTGCAGGGGTACCCCAAATCCAGGAAACAGGCACAGCCCCCTGCAGTGCCGGCACTCGGCAGCAGCACCGCCCGCAAAAGCCGCTGTGGAATGCACCGGGGTGAGCTGAGGCTGCACTGCCTGAGAGCCCTGTTCAGAGGGAAGTTTGGAACTGGGCCCCAGCCCCGCGCGGGATAAGCTCCCGGTAATCCGCTGGGCTGAGGCTCGGCACTCCTATTCCCAGGGGGTTATCCCAGGGGAGGCTCAGCCAGGATTCCGGGCACAGGCTAAGGGGTCACAGTGCCAGGCACTGATGCCACGCACTGTCACCATGGCATGCAACCCCGGTACAGCCGTGTGCTAAACAGACCCTGGGCACACACCTGCCATCCCCACTAGCCCTGCATCTGCCCCACAGCCACTGCTGGCACAGCCCTGCTCCATCATGGCTCTGCCCCACGGTCACAGCCAGGCACGGTGGTACTGAGATGTGCTCCTTGTTGCAGCTGGCATCGCGTGACACCAGTCCCGAGGGTCTGCGCAGGGCTGACTCCAGCAGGCGGTCGAGGAATTTCGGCAAACAGCCGAGCACCGGTGACTACTACAAGCACCTGGGGCACGTCACGGCTGAGCAGCCCAGCCCCCGTCGAATGGCGCACAGCGAAGAGGTGAGCCCCATGCCACGAGCCTGTGCCCGGTTCACTGGCACCGGCACCAGGCAACGCCTGCCTGTGCTTTCTCCCAGGCATCACCCATCTCGGCGGACACCATGCGCAATGGGGAGAGCAAGCCCAGTGCTGAGCTGCCACCCCCACCGCCACCCCCACCACTGCCCGACACCACCTGCCCAACGCCCCCACCACCACCCCCGCAGGCCGAGACCCCCGCCGGCCCCCGCCGCTCCTCCTCCTCCACGGGAAGTAAGTGGTGGGGTCACAAGTGGGCATGGGGAGTGATCTCGGGCACTGTCCCATTGGCTGCACTGTGGCACCAGCCACCTTGGCACGTCTCCTCCTGTGGCACTCTGGACGTGCGGCTCCTGATGGCCTTTCTGTCCTTCTCTCCTCCGGTGTCGGCGCGGGGGCCCTCACGCCCGCTCGCCCCTTCCTGCTCTCACTGCTGGCCGCTTCTCTTCTCTCTTGTCTCACGGTGGCCAAATCCTTCCTCTGCCACGCACCCTGCGCCGCCTCTCTGCTTCTCTCCCTAGGAGGAAAGGCGCTCAGGCAGATGAAGAGTAAGTACCGCGGTCCCGCGCTCCTCCCTGCTCAGGGGGTGCCCTGGCGCGGGGCACAGCCAGAGGGGCCTGACCCAGCAGAGTCCTGTGCTGCAGCCACAGGACACTGACGGCTGCTGGGACCAGTGACTGCCCGCAGCCCTCCTGCTGCCAAGCCCTCGCTGCGCGTCGGTGGCCAGCGGTGCCACGCGGGAGGCTGAGCGCTGGTGCGGGGCTGCCGAAGCCACCAGGCAGGGCTGGCACGGCTGGGCTGGCAGCCGGGGCCCCACGGCCCCCGCGGCCCTGCACACAGAGGGCCTTTGTTTGCTCTCAGCCGGCCAGCGTGACCCCTCCACGTGAGCACACCGGCCGCTCCCCCGCTGCTGACCACAGCCGGCGGGCTTGGCCATCGCTCGGCACCCGCTTTATTAGCGCCGGCTCCCGGGGCTGGGGGGTTTCAGCCGGCGCTGGATGGCAGCGTGCATGCCCCGCTGGGCCCTCAGCACCTGCAGCCATCTGGCCCCAGCGTGCTGCAGCCGAGGGGGGCAAGCTGCGGGCACCAGCTGCAGGGAAGGGGCTTTGCCTTGGCACGGCACCATGGGCTGCTAGGGACCCACGCATGGCTGGCACAGACGGTGGGTGCTCGCAGGGCGGGTGGCATGAGCAGTGGCATGAGCATACCCAGGGTGCTGGTGCCACGCAGCCCTTTGGGCTCCGGGCTGGAAGTGGGGGTGTCTTGGGCTGTCAGTGCATGGCTGCTGGGGGCTGCAGGGGAATGTAGGGCTGTCCTGCAGTGCCAGGGCTGCCGCTGGCCTGGAGTCATCCCTCCAGAGGCAGGTCACTGCTGTCACACACAGCACAGTGCTTCAGGGGCACGGGGTGGCACTTGGGGCTGAGGCTGCTGGAGCTGGGTGTTGGTGTACTGGGGTGCTGCTCCAGCAGGGTGCCATGGACCCAGTAAGCTGGTGTTGGAGTGCTGGTCTGATGGATCTGGGGAGCTAGGGTGGCAGGCTGTTGAGTGCTGCGGGGTTGCTCCAGCGGGGTCCCATGGACCCAGGAGTTGGATGACATGGAGCTGTTCCTATGGACTCAGTGATCTGGGTGTTGAGATGCTGCTCAGTGAGGTCCCAGGGGCTCCTGGATGGTGGGGGTGCAGACACCCCTCCGCCCCTGTGCCCTGAAAACAGATGGGGGATACAGGGGGACAGTAGCTGCTGCTGGCAGGACACTTAATGCTCATTCTGCCTCCTCTTAGGCACCAAGTCCTTCAACATGATGACCCCCACTGGTGACAACTCAGAGCTGCTGGCCGAGATCAAGGCTGGGAAGAGCCTCAAGCCAACTCCACAGAGTAAAGGCTTCACCACTGTCTTCTCCGGCAGCGGCCAGGCAGGGGCCAACGTAGGTGGTGATGGGGGCCTGGGGAGCCAGTGGCACGGTGCCACACAGCATGGCGAATGCCCACCACCCTCCCTCCCTCCTTCCACAGGCAGAGTCGCCAGTGTCCTCCCCGTCACCCACCAGGACGCCCACCCCACCAGCCACCCCCGAGGCTGCCGGGCCACCACGTTGCCTGGCAGGGGGCTCGCCAGAGCCAGTGCTAAATGGGAACTCACCGGTGCCTGCAGCAGGTGCTGGGGCAGCGGTGGAGGTGGAGGCGCTGGTGCCGAGCCAGGACGAGCAGGGCCGGCCCATTCCCGAGTGGAAGCGGCAGGTGATGGTGCGCAAGCTGCAGCTCCGCATGCAGGAGGAAGAGGAGCAGCGGCGCAAGGTAGGGGGGTCCCCCGTGCTGCGGCGGCGAGCGCGGCGTGGGTATGGCCCAAGCAGCTCGAGACCTGGTGAAATGGTGTGTGTGGCTTCGCCTCCAGCTTCCAGCTGGTCTGGGGGGGACCACCCCACCTGCATGCAGGGGCATTACACCTGGGGACGCCACACGTGGTGGTGGTGGTGGCACAAAGCGCACGTGGCACAGCCTCAAGAGCACCTTTGCCCTCTTTCCCGACGCAGCCCGGGAGCCAGTCACCGCCGCTGTGCCAGCGCAGGCCACCTGCCTGCGGGGGCACGCCAGCACCTGCAGGGCAGCTGACATGGGAGGAGGACATGCGGCACCTGGAGAGGCAACTGGGGAGCCTGCGGGTGATGCACGAGGTGCAGCCAAGGCAGCCGCTGCTGAGGCAGCCAGAGGAGGAGCTGCCACCCTTTGTGCCACTGTCCGCCACCCCGGCACCCCGGCATTTTGCCCTCACCCGTGAGGACGTGCCTGCCCGCAGCAGCCAGTCCCCCACACTGCCGAGGAGCATGGCTGTGCCACCGGCCACTCGGAGGGACCAGGAAGCCCCCAGGGCAGAGGGGGCAGTGGGCAGCCCCAGTGCCCAGCATGATGCTCGGCGTGAGATCCTGGGCTGCGGCGTCTCTGTCCGCAGCCTCAAGGCCAACTACGAGGGGCCGGGGGGGCCCTCCCCACCCCTCCCCAGGGTCACCAAGCGCAAGTGGGTGCAGCCGCCTGGCAGCACCCGCCAGCCCATCCTGGAGGAGGAGTATGGGGATGGGGCATTACGGCAGAGCAGATCAGCGCTGCCAGAGCCGAGCAGCCCACGCGAACACACCAAGGGGTGCAAGGAGCGTGCTGTTTTCCTCTTCCTGGAGCACTGGAAGAAGCGGGCACTAGCGGCAGTGCCTGGGGAGGAGCGGCCACGGCGGGCAGGGAGGCGGCGGCCTGCGGCAGGGCGGTTGCTGGCCCGCTGGAGGAGTGTCGCCCGCCGAGTGCCAGGGCGTCAGATCCGGCGGCTGAGCCGCACCACGGTGCTGTACTGGCCCCAGCACTTCCTGCCCCATGTCGGTGGCTCACCCATGCCCCACGACAGCCTCCCACTCGACCTCTTCATGCTGGGCTACTTCCAGCTGCTGGAGATGCCACTCAGCCCTGAGGAGCGGCGCTTCCGTCACCTTCTCTGCTATGAGATGTTTGACCGCCTGGGCAGCCACAGCTGGCACCATGTCCGCCGTTTCCACCGCACCGTGCTGGAGCGGGTCGAGGCTGGCCACCGACACTGGCTTGATGGCTTTGAGGACCTTGTGCAAGAGTTTTTTGGGGATAACCCTGTGGCAGTGGCAGAGAGCCTGCCAGAACCCCCTGCCATGGCCCCAGAAGGGCAGGTGGCAGCAGTGCCGGTGCCAGTGCCAGAGCTGGGCGAGTTCAGCGAGGAGGACGTCTGCCGCTTCATCGACCGCAGCTTCTCCTTTTGGAAGGAGAAGGAGGCAGAGATGTCTGACACCTGAGCCCAGCAGGATGCTGTGGGCTGTACCAGCGGTGTGGCATGGGGAGAAGGAACAGGCTCAGGGGGCAGCTGTGAGCAGCAGGACCTGGTGGCCGGATGTGCTCGGCTGCCTCTGTGGCTCTGGCAGTGCCGTGGTGCAGCTCGGCTTGGCAGAGGGCTGGGTGTTGTTCTGTGTGGCCTCGGGCCGAGGTTGCAGTGTGCTGCTTGCCGTGGCTGTGTGTTGTGTGGGAGATGCAGCAGCGGGGCTGCACTCCCCTCTGGTGTGGCATTTGTGGTGCTGGGGCAGCGTGGGCCCCCGCGTGTCGTGCAATAAAGCTGTGGTGTGCTGCAAAGGCTGGCCACGCCACATGCTCCTTCCTCCTCCCCGCGCCAGTGGAGGGTGGGCAGCAAGGGGCGCGTCGGCGAGCTGCGTGGTGGTGAACCCCACCAGCACCATGCCAGGAGTATGGCTCAGCCCAGCTGCCAGAAGGATGCGATGTCAAGCACCAGGATGATGCTGTGGCCCCATGGTACCAGCAGCGAGGGTGGGCTCCCAGCAGCGCCAGTAACACAGCTGTCTATTGCAGGAGAAGGAGGAGGAGGCGCGTCTGGCCAGCATGCCGGCCTGGAGGAGGGACATCCTGCGTAAGAAGCTGGAGGAAGAGAGGTGAGCTGCAGCCAGGGAATGCTGCACCCACTGGTCACCCTTGAAGCTCTGCTAACCCCACTCTTCCCTTTACTTTCACAGGGAGCAGAAACGGTGAGTGCCACAAGCCCTTTCCCTGGGCAGGTGGGCACGGTGGCTCTGGCGGCTCTGGTGACCGCGGCGCCCCGTGCCCTCCACTGCTGAGCAGGAAAGAGCAGGAGAAGCTGAAGCGGGAGGAGGAGGAGAAGGAGAAGGAGCAGTCAGAAAAGCTAAGGACTCTCGGGTACGATGAGACAAAGCTGGCGCCCTGGCAGCGACAGATCATCCTCAAGAAGGGGGACATAGCCAAGCACTAGCCACGCCACGCCTGGCTCTTCACGGTGGGAGGAGGCCGGCGGGTCCCCTGATGGACCACAACATGCCTCGGCACCCTCCTCCCGCCATGGATGGCCACATATCCCAACCCAGAGGAGTCCCCACCACCTCCCCAGGCACCCATAGTCTCCATCCCACTGTCACCAGCCTACCGCCACCCCGTGCTGCCCTTTGCAAAGTGAGCTGCCGTGGGGTAGGGCACACGGCTCCTTGTGCGCTGCCTGGCTCGGCCACTGCAGCTGGGCTTGCCATGCTGCCCAGCTCCCTGCGCTCCCCACTGGCACTGCTCGCTGTTGCAGCACGCTCACCCCCACTCCTGCCCCTCCAGAGCCGCTCGAGGCTGGCTCCTGGCTCATCTCCACTCAGACCACCTGCCTTTCCAGCAATTAAAACTATAAATCTTGCCAGCAGTGCCCCTCGCCTTCCTGGGGCTGTCCACACCACCCCTGTCCCAACACCATGCTCACCCACCGTGCTGCCCCCTTCATCCACAGCACCACAATCATCCCCATCACCCACACCACCTGCATCTCTGCCAGCACCCACATCGCCCGTCACCTGTGGTGGTCACATCACCAGTGGTGGCCCTGAGCATTGCCTCAGTGTCTGGCCGGTGCAGCCCTGTGAGGAAGGGCAGGGGCCAGCGGATGGAAAACACACCACTTTATTGGGGTGAGGACAGGCACGCCCGGCAGCGGGCAGCCTTGAGAACTGTCCCATGGGTTTGCAGTGGGCTCGGTGCCCGCTCGTCCCGCGAGTGGCCAGGCAGCCAAACTGCCTGGGTGTGGGGTCCCTCCCAGCCCTGGGAGCAGGGGGACATAAATAGAGGGGGCCAATGGGTAGGAAGGGGATGTAAAAGTGACATAAAATGTCTACACGGCATAAGTAACAATACTTAGGGGTATGGCACAGCCGAGGCACCCAGTGAGATGTGAAGGTGCCAGGACCTTCCGGTGCCAGGGCGGTGACGCTGGGGGCTAGGGCCCTGCTGGCAGGCTCTGGCGCAGTGCCTCGGCGCAGCCAGCCAGCTCCATGCGCTCCAGTGCAGCAAAGATGCGGTCCAGCGTGGCGCTGGTCTGCTGGCACCAGCGCTTCAGCATCTCGTACTGCTGGTCACGGATGTGGGCCACCTCCAGCTCCACCAGCTCAATCTCCGCCTCCCGCAGCTCCAGCATCCGCATGAACTCCTTCCAACGCCGTACTGGCACTGCGTCGATGACAGCATAGAGCTGGCTGCCCTGCAGCAGGGCACTGCGGGGCTCTGGCGGGGCAGAGGGCTCCCCCTCATCGTTGGGCTGCTCACACAGCAGGGCCTGGTGCTTGGGGCTCTGCCTCACCGTGACAGTGGCACGGTCTGTCCCCTGTGGAGAGCATGGCTGGGTCCAGCACAGGCTGTCCCACCCCCGGCCACTGAACTGGCGCCGTGGTGTGGGCACAGCCCCAGCCATGGAGGTGGCTGCCTGTGCCATGGGGAGGGGACCGGGTGCCAGGGCATCGTGCCGGAGCCTCTTCCTCTTGTGGTAGATGGCAAGGGCACCCAGGAAGAGGGGCCCGCTGAGTCCCAGAAGGATGTACTCCAGACCCGAGTCTGCAAGGAGGAGCAGGAGTGTTCCCGTCAACTGCAGAGCACGACGACCCTACACCGCTGTCCCCAGCCCCATCACCCTCGTACCTTGACTGCTGCTGTTGCTGCTGCCACACACTTGCTGGCACTCTTTGCTGCATGTATCCAGAGTGCTCCTGCAAGGAGAAGGGAGCCGTGGGCACCACGCTGTGCCATGCCACAGGCCCCACACCTGTCCCCAGCTGGGACACAGTGAAGGTCGGTGCTTACATGTGGCATGGCCGGCACTCATCTCCCTCGGTGTAGAAGTCAGGCTTGCATCTGCTGTCACAGACTGTGTCCTTCGTCTCTGAGCCTGGAGAGAGGGTGGGCATGAGGGAGAATGGCACAGCCAGAGGTGGCACAGCCAGCAGGTCGTGCCGCAGGGAGACCAGCAGCACTCACAGGGCCGCTGGATGAGGCGCCCAGTGCAGGGCTGGCACTTCTGACATACGAACTCTCTGCAGCCCGTGCTGAGGCAGTGACGGAAGTGTCCAGGCTCACAGCCACAGGCGACGTTGCTGGTGGCCGAGCAGTTGCTCAGAACGCTCTGGAAAGCTGTAGAAAGCAGGTAGTGAGTGGCACAGCATTGTGCTGCACGGCACAGCATGGCATGGTGTGATCCCAGCTCACCTTGTTGGTCACACTCGTAGCAAGCCTGGCACTTGGTGAAGGTGTTGGGCTGGGAGAGGAAGGTGCCAGTGGGACAGGGCCTGCAGACACTGTTGTTGTGGCTTGTGCAGGGCTTGTGCAGATACATCCCTGCAGGGACAGAGGAGTGACAGGAAGCATAGCCATGTGGGGCAATGCACCTTCTGGTGCCACAGCGTGCCATGCCACGCCACATAGGCCAGGCAGAGCTCACCTGCAGGACACTGGGGACAGCACTGGTGAGTACTCTCGATCCAATTCATGCCAGCAGGGCAGGGGTGTCTGGTGGCATGTCTCCGCAGACGGGTGAGTGGCTGCACCAGGACCCTCTGTCCTCGCAGTATGGTGTGGTTCTGCCACCCTGGGGGCTGTGATTCACTGGCTGCCAGCCCCAGCACTGCCAGGATCACCTGTGGGCAGAGAGAGAGCAGGGCTGCAGGCAGCCAGGGTGCCCCAGGAGCCATGGACCCATGGGGCACGGCCCTCACACCATGCTCCGCTCCCGGCCACACCCCTCCACTCCCGGACCTGGCTACTGGAGCCAGAGCCAGGTCCAGTACCATGCAGACACCAGTGCCTGTGCAGAGCAGAATGGCTGGATTGGTGGCCCTGTGCCCCTCAGCTACGCAGATGTGTTGCCCAGGGTGGGGAATGCCCCGCGGCAGCCCCTGGGCCCTGCCTTTCCCACCCTACACGAGCAAGCCACTTCCTGCTGGCCCTGTGGGGGCCACTGTGCCACAACGTGTGCCCCGACGTCTGCTGTGTTCCAGGCTCGTTGGGGAGTGGTGCCCGGAAACTCGACCACCTGTGACTACAGGACCCCTGCCTTGTCCCAGGTGTGGGGACGAGTGAGTCGGGCACACTGCTGGTGGTGCCACGCATTGCCGGTCCAGGGAGGTGTAGGCAGCCAGGCGCGGGGGGGTTAACTCTGCCAGCTTTAACTTTCCTGAGGTTTATCTCCCTCGCAGAGGAGGTGATTTCCTCCCTGAGAGGAAGCCGTGCCTGGCTCACGCTCTCTCCGATGCTATCACTCCTTGTGTGTGCGTCCCAAAGTAGGTCACAGCTCCCCCGCGGGGTACCAGGTGCTACACACAGGGCAGCCCCACTGCCCCCACAGCCCCGGTGGGGGCGGCGAGGAGGTGCCCACGCTGATACACCTTCCACGGGCAGGGCAGGGGGCCGGGAGGGCCGTGGCGCTGGCAGTGTGGGCAGGGAACCAGGGGATTCCTCGCTGGGGGCTGGATTTCCCAGCCGTGATGGCCCCGATTACGGCAGCTGAATCATTTTCTACTAAACCCGCCGCCACCGGCAGACTGGAAACCGCGCTGGGTCGCCCCGCACGCAGAGCGCTGGCGGCAGAGCAGGGCGGCTGCTGCAGCCCCGGCTGCCAGCGGCACGTCTGAGTCAGCGCCGAGGCACGGCCCTGCCTGCACCCCCTGCCTGCACCCCCTGCCTGCACCCCCTGCCTGCAGCCGCCCCTGCCCCGCGCGGGGAGCAGGTGCCCGGTGGGCAGGGGAGCGGCGGGCGCAGAGCAGCGGTGGGCACGCCAATGGCCGGCTGCGGGGTGGGCACAGCCACAGTTTCCCACCGCCAACGCCACTCCTGCCCACAGCGCGGCCTGTGCTCCCGGCGCCCGAGTGCCGGGACAGCCTCTCTCCAGCCCCGAGGGCAGCCCCACCGCCGGCAGAGTGACCCGCACCCGCAGGCTGTCGACACAGCCAGGCCCCGTGGCACTGCCCTACCTGCAAGCCCCGTGACTGAGCCCACACTCTCCCCGACTGCAGTCGTGTCCGTGCCTGCGATCTCTGTGGCTGTTGCCATGCCTGTGGCCCCCGTAGCCATGCCACAGCATGGGCGCTTCGGTGCAGCGGAGACCAGTCCCAGATGTTAGCAGAGGGGCAAGTGTTTTTGGCACGTTTGGCGCTGGAGTTACTCCATCTTCCTCCCTCCCTCCTCCAAACCCATTTCAGCCATAGCCCTGGGGCACCCCACGACTGGTGTCAGGGCTCCACGGGACCCGCATGCCGGCACACTCACCCAAGCCACCCCAGGGCAGCAACACTTCATCCTTGTGGCCGATGTGGCTGGTTCATGCCAGGGCAGTGAGGGGACCAGGGTGGCAGGCGTAGTTGGGTGTCAGGGCAGCTCAGTGCCCAGGCAGGGTGCCCCGGCCCCCCATGGCCACTGTCAGCAGCACGCGATGCGTGGTGAGTGAGCGCCAGCCCTCCCCACACAGGCTTTTACACCCAACCACAGCAGGAGGAAATGCTTTTTTGGAAATGAGTCCAGGGGATATGAAACCACATGACAGGAGCGCCACCCTCCCTCACCCACTGGCACAAATCCAGGGTAGCTGGGGTTGGTGGAGGGGATGCAGTGTGCAGGGAGCAGCGCTGACCCTCACCCCAGGTTTCCATCCCCAGCCTGAGTCCTGGAACGGGAGGCTGAAACTGGCCCCAGTCGCCTCTCCACCTGCCCCTGTAGGGCTCCCTGAGCTGTGCCTCACCCACCCCAGTGCTGCCCAAACCTGGGTGCTACCACGGCCAAAGGAAAGGCGAGGCGGGCGCGAGCGTGCACCAGCTGGGTTTATTGCTCAGCTGGGATGTGGAGTGCAGCCTGACACGGGGGGCTCCCACCACAACTCTCACACTCCGGCCTTGGGCACTGCCACCTACTGCCACCACACAGGGCAAACCCACCCCAGCCCCGCACTGTCCCCTCCTGCCACCAGCCCCAGCCTCCTCACTGCACTGCCTGCACCACCATGCCCACCATGCCACTGGCACAGCATCCCTCTCAGCATCTTTCCCACTCACCACTGCCGACATTGTCATCTCTTCATCTCCCACGGGAGCTGCCCCACAGCCCCCTGCAGCCCCCCACGGCCCCAGGGCCCCCTGCCCCACAACTCTCGTCTCTGTGGACAAGGGTCCAGCACAAGCCATGTGCCACGTCCAGCCCCGCACTGGAGCCCCGCCCCAGAGCACATCCTTGCCAAGGGGACCGGTCTGCATCCCCATCCATGTCCCCACCAGGGTGGCATCCCAGTGCTCGCTCTGCCCAGCCCTGCCATTACACTATGGTTAGAAGCAGGAGCAGCTCCTTGGTGCGTCTGTGTGTCTGTCCTTTCCATGCCAGCGGCTCTCAGACCTCCCTGCAAGGCACATAGCGGAGAGAGATGCCCTCAGTGCTGCGACCCAGCCCCTGGGGAGCCCCCAGGAGGGCCAGGGCACCCCTTGGGAACAGGTAGCGTGTGCTTACGAGGCCGTCAGCGTGGAGTTGAGTATCAGCGTGGCCTTGATCCGGTGGAGCTGCGCCAGTGTCAGCTTGCGGTGTTGTGCCGACTGCGGGTCCGAGAGGGTCCGGTGGGCAGGAGGTGGGGGGTCACGCCTGAGCTCCCCTGGGAGGGAGGCCGGGCTCTCCACGGGCTCCTCAGGCTCTGAGAGCTCGGATGTGGAGCTGCCACTGCTGCCAGGGGCAGCTGGGGGCACAGGGGCTTGGCTAGTCTGGGGGGAGCCAGCACAGAGGTCAGAGAGGCTGCGGCTCTGGCTTAAGGGGCCTGGGGAAGTGGGGGACAGGAGCTGTGGCAGGCTGGCCTCTGACTTGGACTTAAGCACCCTGGCTGGGCAGGGCAGGAGCTGCACTGGGGTCCGGCGGCGCAGCCGGGGTGAGGGGGGCCGTGGAGCTGGGGGGGCCAGGGAGGGCTCCCGCCCCTCCTCAGCCACCCCATCTGGCTGCTGGCTGAAGTCCCGCAGGGAGGCAGGTGAGAGAGTGCCGTAGGCACTGTCGATGGAAGATGAGCGGCAGCCACCAGCCGGGGAGGCCATGCCATGGGGCAGGGGCACAGGCAGGGCACCTGCAGGCAGCTCCTGAGTGGGGGTCCCGGTGGAGGTGTCGGCAGAGGTGCCAGTGCTGATGGAGGTGCTGGTGCCAACGGAGGAGCTGTCTGAGGTCGATCTGAAGGGTCCTGCGTCCCAGTCTGGGGAGGAGAGCTCATCACCGCCGTCTGCTGCCACCATGGCGAGCGTCTCAGTGGAACCGTCAGAGGGGCTGCAGGAGCAGAAGGGTAAGGAGTGGGCTGTGCCAGACCAGGAGTGTGCAGGGCCCCCCTCCCGTTCCCTACCACTGCTGTGAGTCTGTGCTGGCACTGCTGTGGCGGAGGATGGTAGGTGAACTGGCAGCTGAAGTGCCACTCCCGCCGTCCTCCTCCTCCTCCTCCTCCTCCTCTTCCATGCACCGGCGCTGCCGCAGCTGCTGCAGCAGGTTCTGGGAAAGAGAAGGTGTCAGTGAGGACCAGGCTGTGCACAGGGCACCCGCAGGTCCCCTGCCCAGCCCCGTGCCCCTCACCTGGGCATTGCGCACCGCCTCGACCCAGCTGCGGCACAAAGACTGCCCACTGGCCTGGAAGGTGTAGGCAGCCACAGCGCTCCCCAGCTCGTTCAGGTAGATGAGGAGGAAGGAGCCTGTGGGCAGAGGCTGTCAGCCGTCTCAGGGACCCCCTCTGCAGACTCCCTCGCCCCTCGCACTGCTCACCTGGGTCCCTGAGCTCTCGGCAGACGACCTTGTCCACCAGCAAAGGTTGCCGGACCACCTTGGTGCGCTCAGCCTTTTTGAGGGGCTTGGTGATGAGGAAGAGGTCGGTGAAGAGGAAACAGTAGACGTCCATCTGGGAGTGAGAGTGAGGCCGTGGTTGCTGGTTGGCACAGTTAGTGAGGGCAGGTGGGCAGGGGCCGCAGCTGAGGCCCCCCCGTCCCCTGCAGTCCTCACCTTGCTGTCTTTACCTTCCCGCATGCGCAGGCTGCCCTCGAGGAGGAGCTGCCGGGTGTCCTCTGGGGAGGTGCCAGGGATGGGGGCTGTCAGGTCCAGCCGGAGGAATTCCTTCAGCAGCTGCCGAGAGCCACCAGCATCAGCATGGGGTGCATGGGATAACATGGCATAAGGTGGTATGGTGTGACATAGCATGGGGTGGCTTGGCATGAAGTGACATAGGGTTGGCACAGCAGCGTGGCAGAGGGTGGCACTGAGTGGCAGAGGGTGGCATTGAGTGGCAGAGGGTGGCACTGAGTGGGAGAGGGTGGCACTGAGTGGGAGAGGGTGGCATTGAGTTGCATAGCATGGCACAGCATGACATGGCAGAGGATGGCAGCTCCACCATGCCCAGCCTACCTTGTCCACCTCATCTGTGCTGCCCTCCACCACCTCATAGGTGTCAATGCGGCTGAGGATGGTGGCCAGGCGCTGCCGCTCTTGCCTCTGGCGCATCCGCGAGTTGACGTCGTTGATGAAGCGCTCCACGGAGCTAATCTGTGGAGGGGTTGGCAGTGGGTTTGAGGGGCTGGGGGGACCAACCTTGTTGCCCCCTACCCCCGTACCCTTACCATGGTGGTAATGGCATCACGGGCGCGTGGGTCATCTGTCTTCTTCAGCACGGACTTGAGGAGCAGTGGGTACTTGGTGAGGCGTTGGTGGGGCTTCACCAGCATGTCGCTCAGCTTCAGGCGGCTGCACTGCTCGTGCTTTTCGGCCCACTGTGGCATGCAGGTGTCAGTGCCAGTACTGCCCCGGTCCCAACCCCGGTACCCACTCTCCCCTTACCGTCACATAGGTGCGGAAGAGCTCGCTGTCCCGCAGCAGTGCCCGCATGTACTCCATGCATCCCTCCTCCTCCATACAGTACCGCACGTAGGGCTTGAAGAGGGACCCGAACTGGGAGGTGCAGAGAGGTCACCATGGGCCACAGCACGGCATAGCCCTCCACAATGGCA